AATCAGCACCGGGGCTCTCGCTCACATCAATCTGCAGAGGAAGTTTACTGTGTGTACTGTCTTTTTTGACCATAAATGCATTTTTGTTTGTCCAGGAAAGGTCATCTGTGTTTTGCACATCCATAAATTTGGTGCTGCTCACCCTTTCCACAGCAGAACAATCCCTTTTGTTGTCTCCACATTTAAGAAGTCATTATTGCCACTGTACGACACGACCAGTTGGTTGGCCCCTCTGCTCACCCTTTCCACAGCAGAACAATCCCTTTTGTTGTTTTTTTGGTGAGACCACATTACGTTTGTGTCATCCACAAAGTTAATGAAACCACATGCTTGAAGGACTGCAGTGCACAGCGTGATGGTGGTCGATGTGTTGTTGTCGACCCAAAGTGCTTGTGGTCCCCCATTGATGAGGTCTATTATAAAGTGAGGTGTTCGGGCTCAGCGGGTCCAGTTTGCATACTAACTCCAAGGGGGGTGATTGTGTTGAATGCCTAGCTAAAGTCTATGAACAGCATTCTGACATAAGTTTTATTTTTTCATGTGTGTGTGTGCGTGTGTGTGTGCCCTGGTGGGTGAGAGCTGAGTGGAGGAAAAGGAAGCAATGTTACTGTCAAAGGTCTCTGGTGGGTGTTTGTAGTCGGTGATGGTCTAAATGCCTTTCCCCAGACTCCTAAAGCCTTTCCTATCTCTGAAAAAATGTGTCAGTGTTGTTGGTTTTAAGTAACTGTCTGCTTCAACATGACCCAGCCTGATGAGAAAAAGCAGTCCTGAGGTGCTTCAAATACCAACGCGCTTAAGCTTCTTCTGCTTTGTCTCACAATGTTTGCAGTATTTCCTTTCTGAATGGAAAGAAGTTACCAAGTTTGGTGTTGTGCTGGGCTGGCAAAGTAATGCAAGGCCCTGAAGTCATTATGTTAGCGTGCAGTCTAAGTTGTTATTTGTCATTCCGTTGATGTCTGGCAGAACCCAACTACTACACAAGCACACCAACAAAGACAACTGTGACAACCTTGTGCACGTTTGACTTGGCCTTACCTTCTTCACACTTAAGATTTACAGACTGTTCACAGGATAACAAATAATTATGTTAAACTGATTATAAGCTGATCAGTTAATCTGTGACTTAAACAGCTTCAATCAACATCTGAGAGCAGCCCAAGAGATGACAGAATACACAGAGAGACTGGAGGAAGACAGTTGAGCAGTCTGGCTAAGGAACACAAGAAAGCCTTTGAAATAGCTTGTTAGGATTTTCTGGAAGAAGCTTCCCTCATCATAAGCACTCACCCTCCCTTTTATAGCCACAATCCAGGTCACTCAGGCCAGCCTCATCTTAATGGAACCAGGGTGATGGCTTAAAGTTACACCTCTATGTAATACCTGTGGCCACAGTTTAAAGGTCTGTCCTATAATCTCAGTAAACTATATATATATAGCTTTGGTGAGAGACCCCTAATCTCAGAGCTCCAAAAGCAAACCCAACTGAGTTTATGGAACAGCTTAAACATTTGAAGGTTGCTTGGCACTCTGAGTTTTGAGGACGAGAGACAGGTGGGCTGTTTAAGCAAAGAAATGTACATTTTTCAATTTTCTAGAAAAAAAAAATATTTCATTTATCTGGTGGATATCTGTCTTCATATGCATTTCACAATTTCTGCAGCATGCGTGAGTTATATTGACTGTATGAAAAATAAGAAAGTCACTGCATGCACCATTTTTTGTGGATTGTTGCTAGGTGACCAAATAATTACCAAAAGCCATACATTTAACTAAACCTAAGCTATTTTGTATAGTGTTGTGTAACGTGTGGACTTTATGGTTTTGTTTATTATTGTTTTAAATGCCATTATGGCACTTTTATCATTGCCATCAAATTGGTATTTCTTTTTTTGTTGTTGTTGTAAACTATAGTTTATTTTAAAATAACAGTAATGCAGTGGGGCAGCCACACCGGCGAGCAGTGTGTAGGGACAGTACCTTGCTCAGGGGTACCGCAGGGTAACCATTCAGTGGATTCGAACCCCGACCTCCCGATCATGGGGCAACCACTCTACCTACTGAGCTATCCCTGCCACAAATATGAACTAATTAGTCAGTTTAGAATGTTTTGTATCATTTGTACCATTTTTTTAATAACCAGTGTACCATATACCCATAACAACCATTTCTGCTAATTCCAGTTTCTCTACTGCAAAAACAAGCCTGAACTGTGTAATGCAATCATCTGGCGTTTACTAACCTTTTATTGCACAACAGTCCCATATCTTGTATATGTTAGTATAAACTGGTATATTATAGTCCCTAAAATGTTAAATTGCGGACAGAAAAAAGACTTAAAGGAAACATCTTAACCCTTGACCCCTGTCCTGAGTGCTTCCTGAGACTTTGTTGTGCTGTGGTGGATATTGTGACTGGTTGACTTTTTCTTTCCTTAGATATAAGTGTCACTGCAAATCAATAAAAACTTTATCTGTAATCCAATGTATTCAGTTACTGAACAGGTTTATCCTGGTGTGAGAATTCGCTTCCAAACTGACAATGCCTCCATCCAAAGGGCAGATGAAACCACATCTCAGTCCAATTAAACACCTATGGATTTTGTTGAACAAAGATGTTACATGTTTTTCACACAGACAGAAACACCTGCAATTCACTTTATTTACAATAAGAAGCCAGGGGGCTATGAGTGTAGACAGGGTGTCAGTACTGCTTCTGGCCACAGTCCAGGGAGACTTCTGGGCACAAGTATGGAAGATGCCTACATGTCATCAAGACGGAAAAAAAAGACTTTAGACATAACACTATGCCATATTTTTAAAACTAAATGCTAAAGAGTTTAATTTAGAATTATCATGGGTACTAATGACCCAGTAGCTAACAATTAGCTAACACTTCATTTAAAATTCGAGGTGATGGAACCAGCTTGATGAAGAAAAAAAAGGTAATGTAAATGTAAACGTAATGACATGGTCACAAAGTACAGGGAAGCTTTTCAGGCACGGTTTGATTATGGTGCTGTTCTATCCACACACAATATTACTTCTGCAGCTTTATACAGTCCATTTGTCTTTGACATAAAAGGATGAAAAGACAGTTGAGCATGCAAAGCTATGATCTCTTCACTTCTGAAAGTGCCATTAAATAATCACAATAATGAAAACACCACAGAAATAATGTTCGCAATGAGCCAACAAACTCACGATGGCTGAATCTGTGATGCACTAGATCGCAGTCAGACTGACTTTGATTCAGGAACCAAAGGAACACTGAACAACCAGACAGAAAAATGTGTTGACGTCAGTGAATTTTAGCTTGAATTATTCAATCCAAGAACATTCAATGCTTAACACGATATATAACATAAAATGGTTCATAAATTTCCTGCATCAGTAAATAAAACTAAGCATTTAAAGATACAACTTATAAACATACAAATGAAATCTTTTCCTGCTCTTTTATGACCTGTTTGTCAGAAGCCTTGTGTAATTAGCTCTCAGCTTGATGCCATCACTGTTCAAAACGGCATCATTTAATGAATATATGTTAATATATAGTTAAGAATAATTTGTTAATGTTTTGTATATTTACAGAAGGTGGGTTTCCTAGGCAATTCATGATTTCTTTTACTTCATCTTGGACATACTTGGACAGTCTCTGAGCTCTTATTTTGAAAGCTGCTGACCAGTTAACGCAGGCCTTTCCTGTCTGCCATTTCACATGGATAGACATTCATACCGAGGTTTCCTAAACTAACTCCATCATCTTAGACTGCATGAAGTTTTTTTTTATATAGCTAAATCCAACCAGGACCTAAAACTGTTTCCGAGTTGTTTCGTGTTCTGTGCAGAAACAGGGACCAGGAGTCCCGCCGAAAACTGCTGAACAATTTGTTTTTCCTTTGACGAAGTCGGGACTCGTGGCCCGAACACACATAACTTTAATTAAAAAAAATAAAAATAAAAATCCGTGCATCTGGATTTTGGCAATTACAGGCAGATACTGACCTCTGCTGGACCAGTTCTGCTCACTCAACTGCTTGAAATAATACAATCTTTTGTTTTTTCACAATAACATTTTCCTATACCAACAATAGCCTTTTGTATGTCTCTGATTCACTTTTTGTTGTGATAGTTGAATTTCAGCAGTGTGGGATAAATAAAGTTATATTAATAGGTGTAGCGGTGAAAAATTAAAATGTCACCAAATATATTAAATCTGACCTTTATTCATTTGTTCGGTTTACTGCATAAAACAAACTAAAGACTTTTGTGAAACTGTATGAAGACAATGACACTTTAAAGGCTTTTGGCTTGGAATAAACCTGCCTGGCCTTTCTCTGTGCATAGAGCAGATGACCATGTTATTACATGTATTAAAAAATGCTGGAAACTGCACATTGAAAGCAGTCAGCTTTCAGAGAACTCATAGAGCTCAGATGTTATTCTCATAAACAGTAACTTGGGCATGTAATAGACCCAAGTGAACATAAAGTATTGTAACCTTGTATACAGTAACAATATATTTATCATTTTATACAATTACAATGTTTTGAGGTAAAAATAAAAATAAAAGCCATAACAAGTCTTTGTCCTTAATAAGTCACAAAATCTCACTGAGGTTTTTCATTTTAAAGACCAGATGTGCGTCGCTTCTTTAGTTGAGGCCAGCTCATTTTCATGTAAAAGTCTTTTTTTCCTGTGGTCCATCCTCTCTTCCTCAGTAGTAATAGCTTCCAAAAACTGCAACCACACAGAACAAGCTGTCCTGTGGAGGGACAATCAGAGTGCTTTTTAGGAAGCGGACTCTCGAGTGATGAACATGTGACTGAGCTGAGCACTTACATTCATGAAAACATCCTCTGCATAGCTGTCTGTGTCAGCATCCCAAAAACACCTGGAAGACATCCTGGGGAGAAAAAAAACACAAACAGAGACCAAGCTAAGAAAATCTTAAAGTTTGAACTACTTAAAAAAAATGTTGAAAAAATGTAAAATAATGGTTGTGTCTTCTTGAGACGGTTCTACCGTTTGCTTTTACTGATACTTCAAATTTTTAGAAACTTTGAATCACTACAGTTTTACCTTAATCAGGTGTTTGCTGATACTGATGATGTAAATATGAAGAGCAGATCTTTGATAATAACCTGAATGATCCGGTCTCCGTTCTCTGGTACAACATATGACATGTCTAAATAATACACTGAGCCCTGAGACCTAACCGTAATCCCTGTGTCAAAGTCAGTTTCTGAAAGTCAAGAGCAAGACTAATGTTTCCAGTACCAAATGAAGACTTACTTGACTCCCTGCCCTCGCTGTTCTCCAATGACCACCTGCACAACAAGCTTATATTTGTCGAATCCTGAATCTGTTCACAAAGAGAATAGGATAGTATTTTATATGTACATCCAAAAGAAAAAAATACTGTAATATAAATATTAGTCAATATTTTTTACTAATCAAATTTGTTTAAATGGGAAATAATTCATTAATATTGTGGGGCCAGGAATTTATGGTGTTATACATTTATTGCTCCAACAAGCTGTTGTGAAGATCCACAACCCTTTTAGTCTTGTCATTGCTGCATTTCCACTGCTGAAACTTTCAGAAATGTTTGCATTCAAACCATTGTAGTACTGGAGCCCTGAATAAGTCAACACGCATCAAAAAGCTAACATCGATAGAAAAAGATAGATCCCCAACACCACTGGCTAAAAATACAGTCCCCAACCATGACAGAGCCTCCACCGTGTCTTATAGATGTGAACACACTCACTGTTGTGTCTCTGTTCTGACTGTCCTCTGTCTATACATACTGATGGCTTGAACCAAAAATTTCAAATTTGGATTCATTACTCATTAAGACATGTTGATTTTCAGTCCAGATCTTGTGTAATTTGGCATAATTCCAGCCTTTTCTCTCTTTTTCCTTTCTTAAAGAATGGCTTCCTGACAGCCACCATTCAGTGAGACCATTTCTGATGAACCTTCAGTGAAGAGCAGATGGATCAGCAGAAGGGGCAGTTCCATCTCTCAGGTCCTGTGTCAGGTCTCTGCAGGATTTTTTTCCAACTTCTTAAGGAAAAAACCTTATTTACCTAAAGATGTCTTAATGGCTTTCAGATACAGTTCATCTGCTGTACATAGTTTTTTAAGCCTGGCACGTCTTCTTTTATCTTCCACTTCGTCAGTTTCCCCAATATAATGCTAGCACACTGGACACTATTCTAAGATATACTTGATTTTGACAAAATAACTTGTTGGGAATCACCATATTGGCTCAAAAAATATTTTATGCCTGTCAAATTATATGTTCATTTTTCTTCTATTCAACTAAAGTAATGGGAACAATCATGTGTTTTTGTGACAGGCTGCTTGTAACAAAGTGTCTAAAGACACAATTTAAAATGAGTTCTTTGGCAAGTTTTCTGTTATAAGTAGACACAAACACTGGTTCATCCCCTGAATGGTTTTTAGATCAGTGCTAAGTAGTTAACAAATAAATTACTGAAAATGGTCAGGTAAAAGGACTGGACTGAAAATGAGAGAATAAGTTGGCCATGGCATTCAGAAAGCCTGGAGAACTATTGCTCAGGACCAGTTTTTAAAAATGTAAAAAAGTTTGGCTCCTAGGAAGAAAAATATGAAGAAATGCGGGTTGACTCAAGATTTCTGCACAGTACTGAAGCTGGAAATCATGACACATATTGGCCTGAGATGTAGTGGTAGCTGCATGAAAAAATTTACATGCAGCAGATTAAAATGCCTCATCTTTACAGGTCTGAGTACCACAGTGGAAATGCAGAAAACAGCCGTTTGAAGGAACCTTTCAGT